CTAACCAAGCGCCCGGCCCGGAACTCAAGCAGCTTTCTTTTAGCCAAAACCAAACTGATGGCCTCGGCTAAGGAGACGTGATATAAAAATCATAAATATCTACAGTCACTTTATAAATAGTATATTAAAGAAGGCTGTTCCACACACTCAGGCTGTGTGAAACAAATACACACAATTACAAGATGTGATCATTTTCCCTTTCTGAATCACATTTAAGCACCTGGATGACTTCTCATTAGTTTACTCATTTCTTCCTAATAGCCCCTGTAATATCATTTACATGCAGTTTTAACAATGTATAAGCCACAGAACGGATGTCTTATTTAAAGGAAAACATAAATATGACAAAGGTAAAAAGACTAGCAGGATGTTAAAGAAAAAATGAAAAATGGGATCTTTAAAAAGAGGCAAAAACTATTCAAATGAGTAAAATTGTTGTTGAAGAATCTAATAGTCCAAACTCAGATCTGCAAAAAACACTGTGAGCTTATACATATGTATGATACCTAAAGGGCTCAAAGAAATATCCACAGAAACAAATTATTAAATAAAGAAATCTATCTAGTTTCACTTCCCAGTATAAACAGATACACTATATACACTACATACATAAAATATATTCCTGAATTCCAAATATAAATTCAAATCTCTCTTTGTGGAGGAAAAAATATAAAGCGATTCTGCACAGATGCACTCATTTATTCCAAATGATCTCTTAGTGGTTATTAAATGGTTTAGTAATCCATTTGACTAGTAACATCACCAATCATACCAGGAGAATTAAGTGTGAGAGATACTCGATTCTGGTCTTTCAATAATTCATGCGTATTTTGTCCATTCACAATTATTTGTTGAGTGTTTTCTATGTGCGAGGTAGTATGTTAGGCACTGGGCTAGCAACAAAGAAGAGTAAACGAGATATTTATTGTCTAATGAGAGACAGAGATCCATAAGTACTATTTTTGATCCACATTTGCAAATCTGCGTATGTGAAGGGCTGACTTAAGTTATACATGGATTTTCAACCTTGGGGGTGATGGGCAGCCCTAACCCCCACATTGTTCAAGGATCAATTGTAGTTGCAATTGGAATTCAGGTGAAGAAATACGGAGAGTGGAGGAAGAACAGAAAACTATCCTTCAGATCTCCACTTTTTCTTATGACCACGATTAGATAAAAGCACAAATACATTCAAACAATCTTAAAAACCAAGTCCTTGCCTTAACCTACAGGTTCCGTGGCTCTGTAAGTTCCCTCTTTCATTTCTTACGTCCTTATTTTTAAACTTACTGAGTCTACTGTGTACCCCTGCCTAACGATGGCTTAGACTGAGGAAGGAAAACCCATGAATACACTGCTCTGCTAGTTGTCCATTTTAAGGTTTTAACAATCTAACTGTGGGGGGAAGAGGAAAATATACAAAGGTTTTGAGCTTCCCTGCCTTGGGCTCACTGCTGTAGTTATTCCTTGGCACCTTTCTGCCTAGTCCAGCAGCAGTCAGCAGGACAGAAGCAACTCGCTCACACTGGCTTCTCCTGGATCTCCCTGAGGCTAACGATTACTCTAGGACCATCAGCAGTGTAAGCTGGTGGCCAGGGATGGGTGCTGCGCTGGCCCTCTGTTGAAGGCTAGTCCCTTACCTATCACCTTGAGTGACAGCAAGAGGAAAAAGAGTCACTTGGGGAAGCGTCAAGTAGTTTACCAATGCTTCACGGTAATGATACAACTTGGTTAACTTTTGAGCCAAGACAAATATTTCAATAAACAAATCTCTAATGCTTTAGTGGCCAGCAAATTGTAGTTAAGCTGGACAAACAGACCCACTCACAGTCTGCTCTCGACCTACCTTTCCAGGCTTCTCTTAGGATTTTTGCCGACACGCTTTTCGATTCCTGCCTCACTGAACCCTTTCATATTCCCTGGAAGTCACCTTATGAAGTATGTCTTTCCAAAATGCTGTTCCTTCAGCCTGGAACAGTCTTCCTCCCTTGTCAGTTATGTTCATTCAGCCTTTGGCACTCAGCTCAAATACCGCCTCCTCGGCAAAGCCTTCGCTTACACAGTGCCTAGTTCAAAGCCCGTGTCACCATGCTTCTCAACTTCCTTATGAATCTGGTAATTGTTCTGTCTCTTGCTACTAGACTATAAGTCCTCTGGGAGTGGAAAATTTTGCTGTGTTCATTTCTGTTTCCCCAGTATCAATTATAGTGCCAAGAAAGTACCAATAATTGGTGAATCACCAATACTTTGCACAAAGTAAGCACTCAGTAAGTGCGCATTGTCAATCATTTCAGTCAAAGCTTGCTTCATCTGCTCTCAGTAAGCCTGAAAATGGAACTGGGAAGAATAAGGCCGTTTGGAGAGGCCACTACTAGCTCCTTTTTGGGTCCACCTGATGAGTGGTGGACCTGCTGTTCACCATAGGGAAGCCACCTGAACCCTAGAACCACAAGCACTTGTGCTTAAGTCTCACTTCTGCCCTTCATAGCGTGGACATGGAAATAATCTTCTTTGAGATACTGTATAAGTAACTTAAAGTTAAGTTATCTCAAAGTTTGGTTCCTTTCTGTACTGCTTTCCCATATTCGGAGAGTCCATTGTGATATTAATTACAAAAGTATTTTGTGTTGATCTGCAAACCAGACATACTTCTTATCGGCAATACACTTAAGTGATGTAAGTCACATTAGCTATCGGTATTACATGGAATTTTTAAAAATACAATGTACTTCCACAGACGTCCAAGTACTGCAGCACATCATTAAGCCCAGCCTATTATGGTTTCTCTTAAAAGAATATAAATTATTTATCCAGCATTATCAAGGAATGAGGTACTTCACAAACCACATTTTTCTGATAAGTTTTATAAGCATCACATGTCTTCCAGATTTTAAATGTTCTCAATGGATATATATCATACAATATATACAGTTTCATTTTTTAAAAAAGCCCAGCACAACAAATATAACTTCACTTTTTCTGGATGATTCGGGATCACTATTATCAATGTCAATTACTGCACAATCCATCCTGCAATACCTTTAAGGGCTGCTGATAAATGGAGGGCTATTTGCCTTTATCCCAAGTGGATACAGATTGTTTTTATGACTCTGCAACCAATGTGTTCTGATGGTTCTTTTTCAAACAATTGTCTAGGTGAGGCCTTTGAACATGGGCTCTGTGATGCAGTTTAGCCAAAGGCCTCTTCTTTCCCTCAATATTTCTACATCTATGAGGTGGCTGCGATTATTAGGAGATTAATAACTGACTAAGTGGGGGGTTAGTAGTGCTAGCCTTCATGCATATGCATCACTGGTAGATTACTTGTACTCAAGAATAATTAGCCTTATTAGTAAGGCAAAACTTATACTAGCTGCCAACATACTGTTTAAATATAAATTAAAATTGTTGTTTCTAATTAACTCAAATTTTACAAGCCCAGCCACGAATTTCAGATTCAATTTAAGAAGTATTTCAATGTTACCATATAGCAGTGGGATATTCTTTTTCAGTTATTGCCCTAAAACAAATTTAAGAATTCATCATTTTAGTTTAGCATGATGGTAAGAAAACTTCAAATTTTAACTCAATCCCTTTTTGCCAAACTCTGTATATGAATAGTTTCAGTATATTTGATCTCTGATTCATCAGGAGAGGGGAGAGGGAAAAATGATTTTTTCATTTATGAAAGAATTTTTTAAAATAGATTGCTAAGTCTGTGGAACAATGAAATTTAGTAAAATGCATAAAATCTGATATTTTAAACTTCCTGTTATAATTTGGATTTTAATCCAAAATTTGCTTGTAGTCTTTAAAAGTGAGAAAATTTGTAAAAAATTACAAAGGTCACAGTAACAGATGTCCACAAACCCTACAAGACACTAAAATATAATAAGGAGAAATCTTGCTTCTCAGGGTTAATCCAAAATAAAACATTCATTTTAGTTAAATTACAAATGAATACTTACTTATGCACCTCAAAATATCAGTTCTACTTAAAAAGGTCATCCCGACTTAAAAAAAATAGTAGTGGAATAAATAAATAAAGAATATAACATATTAACTTGGCTGAATTACAAGAAAAAAAACATCTTTTTTTCCCCACAGAAAAATCTATTTCCACTTTATACTGTTTTTTATTGTACCTACAATAATGAACAACTTCATGAAAGGAATTCTTTCCAAGTTTAAAAATGAATTTTTAATAAATTGGTATGATTAGGAAGTTAAGTATATTTCCTATTCAAGAAACAAAGATGAATTAATATCTGGGTTACTCAGAGTTATAGCAAAAGGTCCAAACCAGGCCTGCAACTGGTGGTCAGCTGACCTGGTCCCTGATAGCCTCTCCATCTCAGCACTGGATTGAATCCTGATGCTCAGTACTGCCTCGTCAGTTTAACGAGTATTTAAAACTGGGGTATTTCTCCCAGGGTATTTCTTAAGCACTTAAATGGTCATCTAAAAGATGACTTAAGCAAAGCACAGGTCAGATTTCAGGATTAGAATTCACAGTTGTCCAATTCTCTGATGATTTGCTCTGCAAATGTATGAGTGTCAACATTTTCTACTTGTGTTCCAGCCCTGGGGGGAAAAAAATTATACCCCATCCCTAAAAAAAAAAAAAAAAAAAAAANAAAAAAAAAAAAAAAAAAAATCCCGCTAAGCATTTTTATAGAATTGTGATAGGTTTTGGCTCTTGATAAAAGGGCATCCTGCAGATTTGCACTCTATAGTTGAGTCATTTGAATTTCATGTATTTAGTTATATATTTTAGAAACACCCCACAAGTAGAAATCATATTCCCTAAAACCTTACACAGAAAGTAATGGACATTAACCACAGTTAATCTATATCTATTGATACCACTACACTGTACTCTAACCTAAGTATGGCAAAGAAATTCTTGAGCAGCAAAATGTTTTGATTCCTTAGTAACTGTCTCTAACTCTAAGAAGAAAGGAGAAAAGAAAAATCTTTCAGAGAGGAGAAACACTTACTGGGACTTTGAAGGGTGAGGTATTCGCAGTGTCCATGGAGTTGGGTTTCTCTGATGTGCTGGTCCCTGAGATACTCCGTCTGCGGGGGGACCTTTCTGCCGGCACCTCTGGAAAAGAAGAAAGAAACATCATTAAAAATGCAAATTTAAAAATCTTTCACTAAATTGTAAAGTTATGGCTTCCCACCTCCCCCCCACCAAAAGAAAATCAGTTTGCTTTAAAGGTGCATTGTATTTTATATCCACATAATTTGTCTCTTTGTCTCTGGTGTTTGAAATATCAAGACACTAGGAGATGGTCACAGTTAAGAATCTGCTTTGTGTCACAGCTTATGTCTTTCTCTGTGCACAGATAGAAAGTAATTTCCTCTGAGCTATGTTTAATATCTATAAGTTCACTTAATACTTGCATCTCAGTGTATGAATCGACTTTTCTATTGGTCAGCAGTATAGGAGTTAATAGAATCCAATGAAATTTTTGATATTCTTGTGAACAAAATATAGTCTAGTGTTGCACAGAATTTGACAGTGTTTGCACAAAGGTCAAAGTTCAGTTCTGTGCAGATAAGATGATTCACCAGAGTGCAACCAAAGGGCCGTGAGAAGACTGAAAGCTGCTGCCAGGAGAAAATAACATATATGCTTATGCAGATACAAAAATAGAGCAGCTTCTCCTTGTTCTAGCAATATGACCTTACTAAGATCTTCCTCTGGAATCCTAAATCTGCTCAAACTACCCAGTAAGCTTCTGATTTTGCACATAATGTGATAATCTCCAATTTAATGACTATACACTATATTAAGGTTACATTTAAATTTTTTCAGATATATATATATATATGCATATATATATGCACATACACACACGCACACACAGATAGATATATACATATTTTATACCTTTATCACAACTGCTTCCCATCTCCACTTCAACTGACAGACATATAGGAATCCAGCTTCTCAGATAACATTAAATAATCTCAACATGAACAAGAAAAAGAAAAACCACATCCTAAAAAAAGTATTCTGTGTTATCTTCCAGATCTTAAAAAACAAGGAGTAAATCGTGACTCCGGAGACTGACATTTTGATTCCTGCTGTTCTCCCTTTAAAAGATAGATGCAGCTTAAACTTCCATTTCTGGCCTCCTGGCCCCTGGGATCCGTGCTACTTCCACTTAAGAGAAAGCGTTTTTTTCCCTCTCGCTCCCTCCCTGTGTCTTGCTCTTTCCCCTCCCTCTCTACAGCTTGCAGAGAGAGAGAGCACGCGAGAAAGAAACACAGAACTGCAGCTATTCAATCAATCGCTCCCACTGCACATTCTCATTAGTTACTTTCAGGCTATTAGCAGACGCCCAACCACTGCCTCCTGTCAGTTACAGAAATTTTTACTGTACTACACTAATCTGCAGCAAGAAAAAACATTTACTGAAATTTATATTCAGCCAGTGCCAAAAGGACACCATTTTACACAGACCCGGTAATGCACACAAATCAATCCCGCCTGGAAAATCCAACTGGAAGTGCTCCCCCTATTACTATCTTTGCATGTTGGACACTGATTTTCTTTCCATGCCTGAACATCTTCTCTGTGACATCTTGACTAGCAAGACATAAGCCAAATTGCAACATTCTCAACGACTGAGGGGTTGACAGCATAGCGTCTCACACGCCTGCAGTACAAGAAAGTTCCACGCTATTACTGTTGTAAAATTATGGCCAATAACTGTAAGTCTCTCAAGTTCTCACTAACCATCAGTGGTGAAATGGGACTTAGTGCACAAAGCCATCTTCAGAATTAGGCACACACGACTTCTAGTGCACATTTCTAAAAAAAAATGGCAGTGTAATTAGCTAAAATTCACGGAAATGGCACAAAGCACTGAGTGTCAACACATTGGTTTGTCAAAGCACATTGAACAAGATCTTTAGGCTTCAGGAACATGAGTTTAAAGAGTGATTATCCAAGTTAGGCAAGTCTATATGGGGGAAGGCAGGTGGGGCAGAGGGGGTGGGGGAAGGTGGGAGCTAATCTCATCTTTTCTCTGATAATTGCATATAATTAGAAAGTATAGGAGACAACATTAGAATAGAATATATTTTAATCTCAGGATATTTGATGGAGAAGCCAAATTGGGAGAAGAAGCTCCCTTAGCATGGATAAAATGACCTAGTAAACAGTTTTCCTTAACTTGCATTGTTCTGGCTAAGGAAAAAAATTAAAACTTATTTCCTTACTTTCTTCCAAACGTCTAACTTCCATTTTCAGGCATATGAACTCATTAAATCAATATATTCCAATGCTTTTAACTATTTGGAAATTACATTGGCTAAAATGAACAACCACATTTCAAACTCTAACAAATACGTTACTTATTGTACTATTTTTTTTTCACTTTTAGATTCTCTTTCTGTATAGAAAAAAAAGAAAAAACACCCTCACAACTCTGATATACCTTAAAGAATGTTACTGGGTTAAAACGAAGAAATTAAATAATTCTTGCAGTTTGAACAACTGCCAACAGGAAGAGAAGAGAAAGGATACAGAGTAAGCCACAGCAACTAATATAAGAGGAAGAAGTCTCCACTTCGTGACTTTCTCGGCCCCCACAACAATGCCCCGGTGCAAAAAAGCCCTTTGAATATCCAGGTTCTTTGCTTCTCAGATGATGCACAACTATTTCAAAGCTGAGAGAAGAATATATAACCCAAGAACCAACATCCACTTTGAAACAGGGTAGCAGCATCAGCAAGAGCAGAATTAACAACTTGCTGGGTTAGTCACAGGCAGCCCTGCATATTAAACCGGTCCAGCTACCTTTAACTTTAAATCCCCCAGCAGAAAGGAAAGCTGCTACGATGCTCTTCAAGCTACATTTCTGCTGAGTTGGAAGGAAAATCTATCGTGGTTCCAGTAGGCCAAAATTAGACAGCTCTCTCCCCTACCCCCACTCACGTTCCAAGCTATCTCATTATTTTCACCTACTGTAAAAATGAACGTGGCTTTCATAGTCACAATATTTAATTATAGTCATATTAAAATATGCTCGTTCTCTAAGACAGAGACAAGAGACATATAATATTGTTTCAGTAGCTAAAGGTCTGAAACTGTTCTGTTCCCTTTCTCTCATCGTCTAAAAATAATATTTATCTTCGGATTGAAAGGCAAAAAAAGTTATAAAAAGCTTGGTTAGGTTTTAAACTTATCTCTTCGTTTCCTTTGCCACTGGGTATGAACTGAGATGAGGCGACAACTTATAATAATGAGAGATAACCTCCAACCCAGCTCTACACAGAATGATGTATTAAAGGGAACATGTGGGTGCTTTTCTTAGCAGCACTAGCAACTATCCATGTGCTCTGTGTGAGCCACTTCACCTGTCCTGCTCTGGTCCTCATTAATAAACTGGTTATTCAGATCAACCAGAGATGAAGACATGATGAATGAGTTCACATGCTTTGATATAAAATTAGCATTTTGGGGGCCGGCCGAGTGGCTGAGTTGGTTAAGAGCTCGCTCAAGAGTTTGAGTTCTGAGCAACAGCAGTTCGATTCCTGGCCCGAGCTGAGCAGCCGCTGAGCTGCCAACAGGTGGCAGGATGGCTCAGCTTAAAAAAAAAAAATTTAGCATTTTGGAAGAAAGGGCCTCTCTACATCCAAAGCGTAGTGTTATAACATCATTTCCTCAACATACACATTTTCCTCTGTGTCAATGTGCTTTCTCTGAAAAGTGTGACAAAGAATTTGACAAATGGACCATTCTAGGGGCAAAGGCGCCTTTGGTGCCTGTTCAACAAACAGAACTCAACCTCTGCCTTCAGAGCCTAACAGTGTGTTCAAGGCCTTTGGTTCATCCATCAGGAAGCAAATATGGAGAAGTGTTTCAGAGAGGAAGAAAAGGGTAAGGCTGGGAAGAAGGTGAAGAGGTGTAGCAGTTTCACCACAGGCAATATAGTGGATGGGCAGTTGCCTTGAAGGTGAGAGGCAATACTTCGGAACACAAGGAAGTCAGCCTTGTGGACCTATCAGGGAGGAACACTGCGGGCAGGCGGAAGTCCGTACAAAGCTTCCAGGGTAAAGCAGCAGCGAGGCCAGCAGGACTAGTGTCAGGGAGTGGGAACAAATAGCAGCGTGAGGCTTAGAGGCCTGAATATAAGGACTTCAGTTTTCTACTCTGAGAGAAAGCCACCTGGTGACATACACTTCACCAAAAAGTACAAATCACACAGAAACACTATGGACATACACTCTTACTGGCACTTTCTTAATTGTTTTCTTCTCAGGATTTTGAATAATGAATGTGATTGAAAGAATTCTGGAATATTATGCTTGGAAAGCGAGTAAAGGGATGTTTATCACGTATGTTTGATATACACAAATGTTTAACCGAGGGTTAGGTTCCAAAACCCTCTGAAAATATCACATAAGAAAGGTACTGTTATATAACGTCATTATAGCTAAACATGGGTAAGCATCAACTACATTTACTTTCTGTTCAATCACATTTAACCAAAGTTCATATGCCATCATATCATACATGCACATACTTAACATAAATAACATAGCTAAAAATTGTCCTGAATTCTGATAATGTCTACCACTTTTAGACTGGATTACATGAAATGATTCAAAACTACTTTTTTTAAAGAGAAAAAGACGCACTATAAAAATTACTTAAGTACCTCTTTTGTAAGTAATCTGTCTAGGGTAGAAATATTTTTATGATAATTTTAGCTAATACTGAGTATGTTATGTGCTAAGCACTGGGTCTAATATCTGTCTTACTTAATCCTTGGGACAGCCCCTGAGGTAGTAACAATTATTACTCTCTTGGATGAGATTATGGGTAAATTTAAAAGAAGGGACTATCAATGTGAAAGTCAATTCAGAAAATTCAACATGAAGATGAACAAAATGTAAAACAATATTTATAAAGTTTTAATTTGGTGGATTGGACAATGATGTAAGGAACCAAAATATCCATCTCACAGCAAAATTGTCTAGTTATGACAAACCACAAAAACATTACCTGTTCACAGATGCAGTCAGTTTGGCATATATAGTATGTCTAAATATTTTACATGAAGGGCAACTCAAGCCAATTGCTAG